AAATTACTTAATCTGTTAAGACACAACTTCCAAACTTCATATCTGAGTCTAATAATCAATCTTAACCCAGAAAATCGATCACTTGATGGCTTGCACCCCACCAAAATGAGATCAACTTGGAAAAATAGCAACTATCTTTATGGAAATGGCTAGATCTCTTGCATGGATGCAAATGGGCCTTAAAGATTGCAACTTTATTGCTCAAGGGACTCAAATAACTTCATGGGTGGCAGCCCTAAGTCCAGAAATGGATTTGCACCATAAAACTCCATTCTTGAAACCAAAAGGGGCCAATATCTATGAGAACCTTGATCTATGATGTAGAAGCACCAAGATGAGAACTTTATACCTTCAATAGGCTGGAAATGATGTAAAACCTCTGGATCTACAAGCTCTTTGCTTCTTCTTTAAACACCTTTGTAACACCGTAAAATTAAAAAAAAAAAAAATTCGCATTTTTTTTAAATACATTTTCCAAACATATTTACTAACAAAATCTCATTGCATCATAACTTTGTTTCATAAAATGGTTCCCAAGATCAAAATACATAAAACCCATGCGTGTGTACGAATCATGCCGGCACTTTCCCGCGATCATCATTGGTAACTGTAACACATAACACATAACACTGTAAGCATACAGCTTAGTGAGTTCCCCAAAATACCATACATAACACATACTAGTCACTCGAGGCTGTAACTTTGTGGGCCCGTGGGCCCTAACTCAGTGGACCCTCTGGTCCTAGCTTTGTGAACCTTCCGGTTCTAACTCTAATATACTTTGATATACACATGACAAAAATCACATAGAAATAATGCAGTGCATCACATCACATAATAGCATACAGTAACTCTATCACATGACTCTAATTACCACTCAAGGTAAAGTATAGTGAGAAGACTTACCTCAGATGTCTCGGTAAATCTCTGACTTGGTAGAAATATGATCTAGCCTCTACCTAATCACATAAAGTAATACTCTCATAAATATAACTCTCAAGACTAGACTCAACCCTCTCTAAGCACCCTCAGAAGGGTAAAAGACCATTTTACCCCTCTTTTGGCTCAAAGGCCCTCATTGTTGACCAAACCCTAAAAGTCAACCAAAGTCAATGGTCAAACTTTGACCCGACTCGTCGAGTGCACTTGGGTAACTCGGCGAGTCCACACGTGTCCACTAACTCCCTAGTCTCACTTGGCATGTCGAGTCCCTTCCCTTGCTCGACGAGTCACACCTGAAATGAATCGTGGGGCTACCCCGACTCAACTCGCCGAGTCTCAAGATCAACTCGGCGAGTTCCATCTTGAACTCCAGTCCTCTAATTCCTCTCTGACTCACTGAGTTATTCCCCTAACTCGGTGAGTCTACTCACTGAGTGATTTACGGGAAACCCTAACCCTACTCGTTGAGTCCGATCTTTGGACTCGACGAGTTCATGCCATGCAAAAACTCCATTGACCTCCTGAGGTCAGATCTGTTCCTTAAACCCATAGATCTGACCTTCCCAAGGATGATAATCACGTAAAGTTCATACCTTGACACTCATATAACATCTAGATGGTCCTACTTGGTGATTTAGCCCCAAAAATAAACTCCTAAGTTCATGGCTCCCAAAATAACTCATAAAGCTCCAAGGGTTAAGGTCTCTGGACCTCTTTGAGTCCAGATCCAAAGAATAAATTCAAGAATGGACCAATTGCTCCACATATCCATTCTCTAAAAGGGTTAGAAAACCCTAACTCTAAGAATCAACACCAAAACCGAAGAAGGACTGAATAAATACCTCAAGATGAAGTCTCTAAACTCTGAAATCACAAGATCCGCTCCTCCTTCAGCCTCCTCTTGCCTTGGTCACCTCCCTTTTGCAATCACACCAACAAAATGATCAAAAGTGGCCTCTCCTCCCTCACAAATGCTCTAGATCTCTTAGGGTCTCTCTCTGGAGTTTGGTAGCCTCAAATAACTGCCCTAAGGGCCTTTAAATAGGTGCCAAACCCGGGAAATTAGGGTTTCATTAAACGGCATGGACTCGCCGAGTCCACTCATGGACTTATCGAGTCCGATCATGAACCCGGATGAGAATCCGCGACCCTACTCTCGGCGATTCTAAGCACCAACTCGCCGAGTCCCTCAACAAATCCCAAAATAAATGAATAAAAATAATATACTTGGGAATCCGGATGTTACAACCTTATTCTTCAAAAAGTCCAAAATCTCTTGAGATACCCAATTCCCATCTAATGTAATATTAGATGTTGAATTCAATGTGGAAAACTTACTATTTAAAGATCAGAACACATCATTGTTATCATCCTAAGGTATGTGTTTAGTACTTCAAGTAAAGGAGGCTGAAATTTTATTTCTTAATAGTTCTTTGTAAAATTACATTTGTAGGTGCAAGGACAAAAGAAATACCTATATAAGCATGAAGTTTAGTTGCTTCAAGAAGTTGGGACTTGACTTTGATATGCTTATTGAAGGATGGGACACAAGCTAGTAAAATGTAGTGTCAAGTTAAAATTATGAGAACGTAAATTGTTGTATATTATCTTCATGCATGCACTTGGATAGAAAGGGTTCAATCCTTAGTGACACCCTGATACTTGAATTTTTGGAATGAGTAATATATTAATGTGAAATTCAATTGTCACGATATTTCATTTATGCATCATTTTGTTGTTCTTATGTTTTGTTTTTAAGTTAATCAAGATTAAACTTAAATGGGGGGGGGGGGGGGTGTTTGTTGGTGAATTGTTTCACTAAGTGTATCTAAGTGTAATGGATTGACTTGTTGACAAAAATCAATCTTGATGAATATTAAACAAGTAAGGAAGGAGTGAAGTACACACTTATTTAAGTTTATTCAAGATTTTAAGTAAGAGCTAAATTGATTTCGGAATTGGTTTTAAGTTGGAACAATTTTTTTTTTTTTTTGGAATAAGTGTTGAATCGAAATTGAGATCGGAGTATAGTTGATTTCAAACCAATACTAAGTTTGTAATTTGAAGTGATGTGAATGCGATCAGATGCGAATGCGATTCCGAAATACTAGATGTAAATGCTCTTTCGCAACAATAGTATGTTACTGTTCAATTGTGATCAATCACAACTAGTTGTAACACAACATTTTGGAACTTCCGCATCAAGTTGGATGGTACTGTTCATTTCGCATCAGAATAATCATTGATGGTTCGCATCGCTATGATCCATATAGGACCGCATCACAACGGTTCATTGAAACAATCGCAACGAACTTGTTTTCACAACCATGAATCGCATCAAGCTTGCGTCAAAACACGTGCTGGTGAGTATTATATTCAACGGTTAAAACGATTGTTCTGTGTCATGTTTGACTAAAAGGTGGATATTCATCAGTTAAATTTATTTTCCAGCGGTTAAAAACCCGTTTTGTGTCAGTTTTTGAACATTGCAATTGTCTTGTGATGGCTTTCAACTAGTTGACATATTTAAGTAATTTTTTGATTAAATTCAAATGGTATGGTACTTTACGTTGAAGAACTCAACGGATAAAACAAAAATTCTCATTCTCTTTCTTGTTCTCAAACTTCTGAGTATTACCGAATTAAGGATTTGAAAGTACTACCAAAATGCTTCGATTGAAAGTGTAAATCACGATCTCATAATTTACAAATGCTTTAATCCCAAACATAGAAATAGAAACATAGTTCTAACAAATGACAATAAAGGCCCTACACTATACGAGATATTAAAATAAATGCAATACAATCTAACACAATAAGATATTATTTTTAGTTGATTTTGCCGTGTAGATATATACTTTTATAACTATATTATTTAAAATATATTTATTCAATTTGAATCAAATAATAGAATGACACAAAAGAGTGAAAGACAAGATTACAATCATAAAATGATAGCAAGCTAAACGTGTGGGTTACGATAGAAAAGAAATGTTAATGTTTTAAAGATGCATCTTTAAAACCAAACCAAACTTCATAATAAGGACAGGAGCGTGTCACAAATATACAAACAAAGGTAGTTATATGACCGGCAACCGGCTAATGTAGGTGAATAAAAGGCCGTTAGAAGTGGATCAGTAATTTGTCGTTTTGTCCACGTCATCTCTTTTTCCACTTGTATTTAATTAATTAAAGTTGGCACTATATCCGATTCAATCCTGTTTTACAGTACAAGTGCAGTCCAGCCTGGCCAACCGTACTCGAAATATTCATCCTTATCCTTCCCTCTCTTCTTCATTCCAATTAGAGAAAAAAAATATATAAGAAAATTTAAATAAATATATAAGAATACAAGATATTATTATGAGCATTTAAATAAACAACAATAATTTTTTTTATTTAGAATATATAGCTTTGCATTTTTTTTAATAACATGTTTTGAAAACAAGTATTTGGTTTAGGTAGTGTAGAATGGATCAATTATCTTAAATTTTAATTTCTTTAAACGATGTAATCATATTTAAAGTAATCTACTAAACTATTAAAACATTGTATATTAATACAATAATATATTAATAAATTACAATGATAGTAAGTTAACAAGTAAAAATTATATTTTTACTAGAGAAAAGGAATATTACCGGATGCAAATAAGTTTTCCCACAAAAAAAAAATAGAATTATATATTTAAAAATAGTAAAATATTAACACTAAAAAATAAATAATTATATACAAATAAAAATCATACCTTTCATTCAACTAAGCAAAAATATTACATTTCAAACAATAAACTTCATATCCTAAATAATTTATTACGGAAAATAGCATTTTTTTTAAAAAAAAAAAAATTCTAAATGGGAAGTATATTAGTTTCGTGAGACAATTGAAGCACTCACATAGTGCCACGTGTCATGTGTACAGCTGTAAACCTGTACAACCTCTCAACTGTCTTCTTCAATTCCCGTAACTATAACGTCTTTTGAATTCCACACCCTCTATATAAACCAAACCTTCCATCATTACCCAGTTCATCTTCCATTTTTCACCATAAATCTCTCATGGATCCCACTACAAAACATGTTGATCGTATAAAGGGACCATGGAGCAGCGAAGAAGACGAGTTATTGTGTAAGTTAGTAAGTCAACACGGAGCACGGAGCTGGACATCGATTAGCAAGTCGATTCCAGGGAGATCTGGTAAATCATGTCGTCTCCGTTGGTGTAACCAGCTGTCGCCGGAGGTAGAACATCGGCCGTTCACTGTAGAGGATGATGAGGTTATCATGAAGGCGCATGCTCAGTTCGGGAACAAATGGGCTACGATCGCTAGGTTGCTCAACGGACGTACGGATAACGCCGTTAAAAACCACTGGAATTCGACGTTGAAGCGCAAGTATGCGGCGGCGGACGGCGGAGATGAAGGTGAGAGATATCCGCGGATGATGAAGATGACGGAGAAAGATGTCAATGCGAAGGTGGTTGCGGTTACGATTACGAACTCTGGTAGTTTATCCGGATCAGATGTGTGCGATTCAGATAACAATATTCCGGCACCGTCTGCCGGAGAAACATGTATAACGTCACCGGGATTTGGACAGAAGGTTGAAATGGATCCTCCGACGGCGTTAACTCTGGCGTTACCTGGAACAGGTTCGTATTCGTATGAGATCTGTAATGAAGTGAAGAAGAAGATCAATGCGACGTCGTTTAGCAATGAGATTCTTTCAGTGATGCAGGAGATGGTACGTAATGAAGTGAGGAAATACATGGAGTGTGAAGAAGGGTTGATGCAAGTGTGAAACAAAAGTGATTAATTTTGTTAAATTTAAAAACTAATAGTGAATATATAGAGCTTGTTGTTCGATTCAAATTATTCTTGAGTTAACATGAAGAGAACGAGTTTTTGATCAAGGATTTTGGGGACTGAGTTATAGATGTAAGGATTGGAATATTAGAATTAAGGGTTTAAGCATGGAAAATATAGCCTAGTTTTCTAATTATTTTTAAAATTTTATTTAAAAAACTTAAGAAATAATCCAAACAACCATTAAAACTGATTTATAAGGATAATATATTTTTTGATTCCTAAAAATTTGGTCACTTGAGTTTATTTTATTTAATTTTTTTGTTAACATGTTAAATTATATAAATTGACAGAAAAAAATGATTTAATAAAGTAATATATATATTTTTCATTTTATATACATTTCTTAAAAATTTGGTCGCTTGAGTTTATTTTAATTTATTTTTATTTGTTAACTTGTATAAATTGCCTGGAAAAAATAATTTAATAAAGTAATATATTTTTTATTTTAGTCCTTAATATTTTTGAATATGTTTAGTGATTAATATTTTTTTTTTGGAAAATCTCCGGAAAAATCTCAATATTTTAGCGTAATTTACGAAAAAATCCAAAACTAAAATTCGTTTATGAAAGTCTCAATTACTGGTAAAAATGACGATTTAATATTATTTTCCCGATTTACCAGTTTCATTACTTACTCGGTTTAATAAAATCTCATTATTTTACTATAATTTACGAATAAATCCCAAATTATAGTAATTAATTGGACTTTAATGAAAATTATAGTAAAATAATATAACTTTAATGAAACCGAGTAAGTATGAAAACCGATAAACCAGAATAAAAGGGTCAAATCGTGATTTTCTTCGGTAATTGAGATTTTTTCATAAACCAATTTTAATTTGAAAATTTTTCATAAATTAGGGTGAAATATTATGATTTTTCCGATTTTTTTTTTTCAAAAATAAGTTTTTTTTTTGTTGTATTCATTAAGTAGTTATGAATTATTTTTTTTAGTTTTTTCTTACAACATGTTACATGTGACAATTATTGATGAGATACTTGTGACTGTTGATGCTTATGTTCATCGCGATCTCGACTGTTTGGTTACGTAAGTATTGTGGTTTGGTTTAGGTTTTGTATTTTTAATGTGGTAACTTCTTCATACGAATTAAATTTTAGAGTAAATTACTGAAATCGTCCTTACGGTTTGGTCAAAATTGTAAGTTTGGTCTCTAACTTTTTTTTTTTTTTTTTTTTTTTTTTTTTTTTTTTACACTAGGATCTGAGTAATTTAACAAAATCAAACCACAGGGACGATCCAAATCTAAAAAAAAGTTAGAGACCAAACGTGCAATTTTGATCAAACCATAGAGACGATTTCAGTAATTTACTCTACAATTTAACAATAAAGTGTAATGTCCAACTAATACCCAACATTTACAAAATTAACGTTTAACTTCGTACCAAACTTGTATATGAAGATGAAACCCGAAATGTAAAGTAAGACTACAAATAGGAGTCAACTAAGCATATCAAGGAAAGACGAAAGGACTATAAACTAGTTTTACAAGTAAATATGGCAAAGTGCCAAAGTATAAAACACTAAACTAGTTTTATAATATGGAAAAGTATATGTTACAACCTAAAATTTTAAAACATAAGTAAAACAACTCAAAACCTTTTTATTAAAAAGATCATAGTCATGGATTTATTTTAAATATTAGGAAAACAAGACACTTTAGCGGAATTTTTTAAAACATAATTATTTTTTTATGAGAATAGTCATAATATGTTGGAGTCTTCTCACGATCAAATGAATTACTTGGAAAATATTTAATCAACATCTGTAAGCATAAACCTTAGTGACTTCTCCTAAATACCAACATCACAATACACATACAATTGCATACAAACAGAGGCTATCAGCTCTAGTGATGACCCTTTTAAACAAGTAACGACTAACACTTCTAGTGCACGTCTATTCACAACTAACAACTCTAGTGCATGTCTAGTCATCCTAACTGTTAACGACTATAGCACACGTCTAACCCTGGACACGAGTAACCTAGGCTCTCAGCTCTAGTGCGAATCCACCATCAACTCCCAAACATAACATATCAACATAACATATAATCAAACAATCAACATACAATAGACTCTACTAGCCTATTCATACAATTAATACACTATAGTATCAATACATCATATCATGCAAATGACATATACTGTAATACATAGTATAGTGAGATAACTCACATGAATAGTCTCAAAACAACTAAATAGGTTGGTTTGCAGACGGCTCAACCAACACGTAACAACCTATAGTATTGTACTGGTTACTGACTATCTAAGCAAAACAATTAATGTTTAGATCTTTCACTAATCCTACAAATATTGGATTGACTATCAAATAAGGATTAACCAATCAAGATAGTCGGATACCTTTGAAAATTTCAAAGAGTATCAAAACGAAGTAGAGAATCAATTGGGCAAGAAGATAAATGTTCTCCAACCTGACAGGGGATGAGAGTACTTAGTATCGAATTCAACGATTATCTTAGAAATTGTGGAATAGTTTCACAATTGGGTCCTCCAAGGACAATACAACCTAATGGTGTTGCTAAAAGGAGAAATCGAACTTTATTGGACATGGTTCGATCTATGATGAGTCTTACGTCATCACTAACAATATTTTGGGGGTATGCACTTGAAACAACAACCCATATCTTAAAGTTTGTTCCAAATAAGAAGGTTTCAAAGACACCTCATGATATGTGGATTGGAGAAGTTCCTTCACTTAATCATATTAAGGTCTAGGGTTGTGAGGTTTTCGTTCGACGCAAAACCCAAGATACACTTGAATCTAGATATGAGAAGTGTTGCTTTGTCGGTTATCCACAAAAGGTTGTTGGATATTTGTTTTATAGACTTAGTGAACATATGGTGTTTATAGCTCGAAATAAGTGTTCCTTGAGAAAGAGCTTATATCTCAAGAATTCAGTGAGAGTCAAATTGACCTTGAAGAAATTCAGGATTCAACCGACAATAAACCTATAGTTGAAAATTGCTCTCAACCAGAGATTGAGAAACTAGTTGAGTGACATGATATATCCTTACCTCTTCGTAGATCTGATTGAGTTAACAATCCTCCCGAGTTTTATGGTTTTTATATAACCATGGAAGGAAACACGTTGATTAGTTATACAATGTTGGTCAATCAGGATGAGCGAACTAACTACAAGGAAGTAATGGCAAGAGATCGCCCAATGGAGAGAGGCATGGACAACGAAGTTCAGTCCATGATGAATAACCAAGTTTGGAATGTAACACCCGAATTTATGGTATGTAATTGAAATATGGTCTTTTTTCCTTTTCTTATGAGGTACTCGATGAGTCAGTGGCTCGACTCGTCGAGTAGAGACGCAATTTCCTCACGTTTTTAGCGGGCGAGTCGACGAGTCTATAATCCGAACCCGGCAAGTCCGCTAGGTTGGATGAAACCCTAAATCCCAGGGTTTGTATCCTATTTAAGCGTAATTATAGTGTCCCACCCCAGCCTCCAGCACCTTTAGAGCATTTCTATGTAAAACCCTAGTCCCTATTGTTGAGCTTGAGTGTTTTGTGATAGCTTGGGAGATGTAGAAGAGAAGGAGGGAAAGAGGATCAATAGAAGAGGAAGGAGATCCAAGAACTAGCTTCCACCTGCTTCATATTCTGGTAATAAAGTTATTACCTTGCTTATTATTCCATTAAACCCTCTTTTATGCTTGTTTAAGCTTCTCTTGGAATTTTGTTTGATTCAAACTCGAATTTGAACTCTCCTTTGGATGGAAACCATAGATCTGGACATTATTGAGCTCCATATAGCCTTGTTCCAAACCCTATGTGCTTATTGTTGGAGGATTTTGGTGTTTAATCCCCATTCTCTTGTGCATGCACGTAAAGTTGGAAACTTTATGTGTAAAACCAGCCCTAGAAGCCCAAATCTATGAATTGGAAGCAATGCAACTGACTAGAATCGACTGTATAGTATTAACATGCATGAGACTCGACGAGTCGTCCTTAGGACTCAGCGAGTCGGTTCATGCTCAAGAACAGACTTGACGAGTTGTTCATACAACTCGGCGAGTCACAGACTGGACGTGTTCATATGATGAAGGAGAACTCGACGAGTTGTTCATACAACTCGGCGAGCCGGATGAAGTTAGACTCGATGTTAGTATCAAAGAAGAACTCATCGAGTCTTTGCCAAACTCGACGAGTAAAGGATTAGAATGGATGATAAGGACTCGGCGAATTGGCGGCCCAACTCGGTGAGTCCGGTCAACTGAAAGTTGACTTTGACCTGAAAGTTGACTTCGACTAGGAAGTTTACTTTGACCTGGATGCTGACTTTGACCAAGGGTAAAATAATCATTTCACCCTGAGATTAGTTATCAGTATTTGATTTAGTGCTTATGGGATTTGTAGTCGAGGAGTTTCGGAGCAGCAGTTAGGCAGTTTCAGATTTAGCATCTCAGCAAACAGCGTTACGAGGTGAGTTTCCTTCCAGTAGGAACGGGTCTACGGCCACAATGCCAACCCGTTTAGTTAGCAGTAGTTCCGGACTTCAGTCTGATGCAGTACTTCAGTGTGCTTGATGTGTTTGTGATTCGAGCATATATTTGTGCTATGTGTCCCAAACTTCGGTGTGATGCATTATGTAGTATTTGTGTTTATGCTAGTAGTTATGATTATGCTATGTTATGTTCAGTCAGTTCCGGACTTTGGTCTGATGCAGATAGCAAGGCTCTGGTTAGTTCCAGACTTCGGTTCAATGCAGTTTCCAGACTACGGTCCAATGCAGAGGGCAATGCCCTGGTTAGTTCCGGACTTCGATCCGATGAAGAGGGCAAGGCCCTGGTTAGTTCCGAACTTCGGTCCGATGTAGTTTCCGGACTACGGTCTGATGTAGTGGGCAAGGCCCACTAGTTGCTTTATATGTTATTGTAT